GCGATCCCTCCTTGGGTTTCTGAGGCGATATCTCAATGGAAGTAGATTGCCCAGTCTTCCTTCCAAGGAGTGGCTGGTGGGTTTGAACCACCAGCCTTTTGGTTAGCAGTCAAATGCCTTAGGCACTACACCACCAGAGTGCCCAACACAGGTTTTTAGGAATTTTAAATAGTAAGGAATTTTCAGTCCAATTTAAGTCCACAGAATCATTTTTCACAGTAAAATTAAGCCTTGAACAATATTTTTTTTCTATATTTAAATTAATTATTTGGAAAAATACTATGAAATATTGTAAGTATTCTGTTATTTTTTTCTGGAATCTTCTGACAAATGCTAATAAGCTTCTATGACAGGAAAGCTAAAAACAGTCTTTCTGTAACTGTTGGAAATATTAAATGGGAATTAGTTAAACATTGTGAAACTCTATTTTTGGAAATTATTTTGAAAGAAAACCTCATATACACATTAATTTACACACTCATTCAATTCACCTAACTAATATTGAAAAAGAGAACAAAGGACTTTCTTGAATGAAAGATAAGTTATTAAAAAATAACTCAAGAGCAAATTTGATTTACATGCTAATAATTAAAACAGTTGACCCAAATTTTGCTTTTTCATTGATGGGATGACCAGAGCATTGCTTTAAAGCATATTTACCCACCACCCAACCAATCACACTCATATATTTTAAATTTTCCTATCCCTGGTTGATTTGCATTGTCACATTTTCTTGTATCATCAGTATTTAGTAGAGCTACATGTTTGTTTCTCCAGTCTTTCTATGTGTCTTATATATGGTTTGTTCTAGTGTTCAAGCTCATGCCATAATGCTCTAATTGTTACTCATGTGTTAGTTCTGGAAGCTTGATTCTTTCTATGTAATAGGTATTGCTCTTTAAAAGTTAATAGTGGTCAGTTAGTGTGTAAAGGAGAGATCTGCTGCTAGATTTATTAATTTCTCACAATTTTCTGTACAACTGATCCTTTCATTACTTAATATGTTAATTAATTCAACCATTTATCCACTTCTTTTGAGTGTGTGATGTGTTCCAGGGACTCTGCCTGTTGTGTTGTTGTTATGTGCCATTACAACTCATAGCAACCCATCCTTGGGTTTCCGAGGCAGTGTCACTACAGAAGTAGATTTCCCCATCTTCCTTCTGAGGAGTGGCTGGTGGGTTTGAACTGCCAGCCTTCTGGTTAGCAGTCAAGTGTCTTAGGCACTATGCTACCAGAGCTCCTGGGACTCTGCCTAGCAGTTAGTATATATAACTGACCACTGAACAACATGGTTTGAACTACATGGGTCTGTTGATACGTGAATTTTTTCAAGATATTTATCTTGGAGAAATTTAAGAGCTGATAGACACCACACCAGAGGAATTAAGAGAAGATGACTTGATGGAAACGAGTGCATCTGAACTAGTGCCAGATGAGGAAGAAGATGTAGAAGAAACGGTGCTGGAAGGTAAATGGACATTAGACAATCTGGCAGAAGGGTTCTGATTATTCAAACTGCTTTTGACTTCCTTTATGACATGGATCCTACAGGCACTGAAATTAAAGCAAATGGTGGAAGAAGGATTGGTACTGCATACAAACATTTTCAGGGAAATGGAAAAGCAAAAAAGTCAGACAGAAATTACGATGTATTTCCATAGAGTTATACTGAGTGTGCCTACCTCTTCTGGCTCCTCTTCCACTTCCTCCACCTCTCCCACCTGTACAACCCCTGAGACAGTATGACCAACACCTCCTCCTCCTCAATCTACTCAATGTGAAGATGACACGAATGAAGATCTTTATAATGGTCCACTTATACTTAATGAATAGTAAATAATTATTATAATGTACAGTTAATGAACTTACCTGTTACGTATGTACGTGAGTGTCGTCTTGTAAAAATCTAATAGCTATAAGCAAGAACTGTATTAATCAACAGTTTATGTTATCAGTAAGGCTTCCAGCTATTAGTAGTTAAGTCCTACTGGGGAGTCAAAAGTTACATATGGATTTTCAACTGTGCCAGGGTGGGGAGGGGTCAATGTAATTAACCTTGATATTGTTCAAGGGTCAACTGTAATGTAGAATATGATATGGCTCCTGCATCAAGGAATTTATGTTCTTCTATTACTTCTGTTCTTTGGATCAATTAACAGTATTACTCATTGTTTCCAAAATCTTAAGAATGTCCCCCTTCCTCCCATTAAGTATCAACCATACATTTTTTATCACTCTATACATGTCATCACCAAAATTTAAGTACAAGAAATACTGTAAAGAAGACTGTTGTTTTATTCTCCTGAAACTTCTGTGTCTTATAGCTTGATAGAAAAAAAAACAATCCATGAGGGCTTTCTTGAAGCTAGAAGACAAATTTCAGTAGTGAAGACATGGGGGTAGGGGTGGGATGGGCATTGTTCATGGTTTAAAAACATCAGAACATGTGTGAGTTTTGAAAAAGGGAGGAGTTTTTCTTGAAAATATATCATACTATTCAATAGACAAGGTCAGAATATAGGTTTGAGAGTTAAGGTTGTGTGTCAACTTGGTTAAGCCATGATTCTAAAGGGTTTAGCAGTTATAACGTAGTCATTCCCCATGATGATATCTGATATGATATAATCATCTCCATGATGAGGTCTTCTCTGAGCAGTCAATCAATTGAAGGAGAGTTTTCTTTAGGGTGTGGGCTGCTTCTAATGTACATGGAAAAGTGTTGGTAAAACCCTGTTTTTGTTTTTTTTTTGCTTGAGATCCTGCATCTGGTTCATCATCATCTGGACCTGAACCAGTATTTGTCCTGCTGTATTGCCTGCCAATCTTAGGACTGTTGCATTCACAGCCTGTGAACCATCAGCCTGCCATTTTGCCAGTCAATCTTGAATTCATCAGCTTCCAAAGCCAGCCATTGTATTGCTTGCTGATCTTTGTCTCATCAGCCCCAACAGCTATGTGAGTCAAAAGAAACCACCTTAACTTCAGATCCATCGATGTTAAGTCTCTACAATTGTGTGAGCCATTTCCTTGACATATATATATATTTTTTTCTCTTTCTCTCTTTCTCTGAGCTTCACTGGTTTTGCTTCTCTGGAGAACCCAGAATAAGACAATAGGCAATAGAAAACCATAAACAAAACAAACACTTCAGATGTTGAAGATCTCAGTAATTTAAAAGTATTCAGTGTAATTAGAATTTTAGAGAAAGGAACTATGGTATTACCCATTCTAATCACCTCATTTTATAGATGAGGAAACCGAGGAACAGAGACAATAAATAATTTATGTAATTTTTCTATGGCTCATCCAGAACTGTATACATTTTATACAGCTAATCTAGAAAATCCAGAATGAAAACCCAAGTTTTAGTTGACTTCAGTATTTTTCCCATGATGCACTTTACTCAATCACAGTGGTTTTTATTAAATCGCTGAGGCCTCTTTCTTTCTTTTTCTATCATCTGTTGGTCTTCCTTAATTTCAGAGCTGGAGGTAGTGTGATTTACCATTGTAGGACCTTCTTAGCACATGAACATATTAATTGACTATGCATTTACTCATGGTGCTCATCTTCAAAAAGGAGAAAACCTACTGACAAAAGTCATGGAATCATGTGAACCTTAGAGGCATCTGACTCTGACAAAATTTACTCTTCTGGCTACTAATAAAATACCAAGGCTTGTGGGGAAAAGAATGCAGTAGCTCAGGAATTAACTCATCCCAGGACAAAAGGGAAAGCTTTGTTTCAAAAGAAGAAGTAAACATATTTTAAACGATTTTTAAAAAGCCAACAAAAATAGGAACATTTAAAAATGATTCTATGACAAAAAATTCATGTTTGAAGTTTTTCTTGCTTAAGGAATACAATAGTAGATCCCTTGCACTTCATAAAATCTTTTAAGTGTAAAAGACAGCAGATCAACTTTTACACTTGTAAATATCATGTTGAAATTTCAAATATAGGTGTTGAACCATGGATTCTTTTAATGCCATTTTAAGGTGACAGTCAGTTGTTGTTGTTATGTGCCATCAAGTCACATCTGACTCATAAAGACCCTTCCTTGGGTTTCCGAGGCAGTATCGCTACGGAAGTGGATTACCCCATCTTCCTTCTGGTTAGCAGTCAGATAGCACTGAATAAATGTGGCAAATTGTCTATACTTTCTATAAAAACTGTGGAGAGTAAGAATATTGTATATTCTCACTGCTATAAGATGGTAACATTAGGCCTATAGAAGTTTCTACTGTAAAAATATTCTCTTTTTGTTGTGTCTTTGAAAAGCTCATGTGTAAGATTTTAATTTGTATTTATATTTATTGATCATCAGGACCATGATGAATTCACATCATAAGAAAAAATTCAAAATATCTGAACTACATTTTTCCACCCTTAAAGCAATGTAATTATAAGAATAAATGAGATAATTTATACATTTTTGATAGCTTAGACTCATAAGGAACTTTTCTCATGTAGAGTATATATGTGATATAGAAGTTCAGTTATAATAATGGGAAAATTTTACAGATAAAATATTTCAAGAACACATGCTTTCTATACTGTGAGACTAAGTTTATTTATTACTTAAAGTTATTAAAAACACTCTATAGAATGCATTCATGCTAGCAATACAATTCATATAAGTAAAATTTTTAAAGAAGTGATCAGTAAATTATGACAGAAAAATTTCATTAATAAGAAAATATGCATAAGTTAACTGGTATAGTAAAAACTTTATAATGTTGTTTTCGTGAAGAAAAACTTTCCTTTTCCTTATCCATGAACTGATCTTTGTATGTATACTTAAAATTATGTTATCCATATTAGAAGACTTCTAGAGTCCATCCATATTGAGATCTCTGTCACTTTGGGAAGAAAAAATCAAGATACAGTTTTATTTCTTCTAGTTCATTTCTACTTGATTTCTGAATTTTTTAAATGAAATGTCCAAAGCCAGTGCTTTCAATATACCATCATCAGTTTAAACTTTCCAATGGTAATCAGGAATTGTTGTTATACTCTGTAGTCTTCAAAAGTTTTTGGTATAGTTCTGACTTCAGAAACCTGGGATAGGAATCCCTTTCCATATGCATATACACTATTTTTTGAGCCTCTTCAAAACATGTTTGAGTGGGTTCTTGCATGTTTTTAATGATGGTTTCCCTTGTAGCACTGTCAATGTTAATCTGAAAAGTGAAATTACATGTAGAACATAAATAGGAATAATTCCACCAACTTTATGAAAACAACATATATATACGTATATAAAATGAAAAAGTTATGCCCTCTTTACTTTTCAGTAAGGAGCCCTGGTGGCACAGTGTTTACAGTACTTGGCTGCTAACCATGAGGTTGGAGGTTTGAATCCACCAGCCACACTGCAGAAGAAAGATGTGTCAGTCTGCTTCCATAAAGATTACAGTCTTGGAAACCCTATAGGGCAGTTCTACTCTGTCTTAAGGTTGCTATGAGTCAGAACTGACTCAACAGCTACGGGTTTGGTTTCACATTTTTGGCTCCTTTTCAGTGGAACAGGGTAATTTTGTTTGCAGTTTCGTAGGTATCTAAAAAGATTTATAAGAGATAAACTGTGATTTTCTTAAAAGTAAATATCCACCTCCACATCCCAGATGGGTGGGGGGGAACCCTACAAGTTCCAGAAACCATTGCTTACTTAGCAGGATACCAGTGGTTTGTTAGTAGCAGTCTACAAACAAGGAAGTTTATGAACTGGAGGTCTCTTTTAAGGAAAGGGGAAGTGGTGCTATTTTAAAATTTGTCCTCCTTAATAGTCACAAATGTTGGTTTAATTGAATATTCCCTTAAATGGGAAGAGAGTGAGGAGAAGTAGAGAAAGAGGGAAGATAAGTGGTTATTTAAATAAACCAAGTATTTTCCAGTTAAGAGTTTTGGGGAACAAGTTGATCATATAGGACTGTCCCAAGTGACAGGAATCTTACATGCCATCTTCTATCCTTAACCCCTTAAAAAGAATTTTCATTCTCATTTTCTCTCCACCAGGAAGGGTTTCAACACATCTGTTTCACTCATGACTATTTCTTTAGGCTGCTGTAAGTGATTGGCAGTAACATCAATACAAATGTCTGTTGGTTTTGCTAGTTTTAAAGGGATAAATGAAGGCTGGCATGGTGGGTTCTGGTGTAGTGGAATGGACTTTACCCAATATCATTGGGGTGTTAACATGCCTATTTATTATATCTGTAGTTCTTTCTGATCAGGACTAATTCTTCTTTCAAAGACTCATCTTGTTGTTCTTTTTTTTTTTTTTTAAAAAAAAAAAAAAAAAAAACCTTTGCTGTGAGAGGCTTTGGAGCCAGACAAGCCTTCATTTTAATACTAACTCTTAGTATTAATTAAGTGCCACACTTAATTGCTGTGTGATACTAGACAAGTTAGTTAATTTCTTAGGTTTTCTGATCTGTAAAATAAGTCCATCTATACTGACTTTAGGAGCTCTGGTGGCATAGTGCCTCAGGCATTTGACTGCTAACCAGAAGGCTGGTGGTTCAAACCCACCAGCCACTCCTTGGAAGGAAGGTTCTGCAATCTACTTCCATTGCGATACTGCGTCAGAAGCCCAAGGAGGGGTCGTTATGAGTTGCAGTGGGTTTTTATACTGACTTTAAGAAGCCCTGGAGTACAGCAGTTAAGTACTTGGCTGCTAACTGAAAGGTCAATAGTTCAAATCCACCAGTCACTTTTCAGGGTAAAGCTATGACAATCTGCTTTTGTAAAGATTTACAGTCTTGGAAACCCTATGGGGCTTTTCTGCTCTGTCTTAAAGGGTCTTACTATGAGTCAGACTTGACAGCAATGGATTTATTTCTTTGGTGTACTGACTTTATAGCATTACAGGAACAATGGATGTGAAGTGCCTGACATATAATGGGTGCTTGACAGATATCAGTGCCCTCCCAGGGATGTATTCATTTTCATTTGCCATCATTGTCTGGTGTTTAGTTACCTCTCTAGGGGACTGTGGCTGGATGTAAATCTTATAAAGCTTCTTTGCCATAGAAATTCTGCTTCTCTGTGAGGCAATTTTCTTATAGGTTTCACATGCCATCCAGAATGTAATATTCTCGTCACTGTGCTCCATTTTTAAGTATGCTGCATAGACTACTGGGCCATCTAAAAGGAGTGGAAAAATTTATTTATTTTATGGGTCAAAAAGATAAAATATGAGCAATATTTAATGCAGTTTAAATCAAATTCTGAATCAAAGTACCTAAATTATTTAACGAGTGAATATTATATTATAATATAATATGTAAGACTAAAGTTCAAATATATGAAGCATATTTTGGTAATGCCAGTCAGAAATGAGGTCACTGCTTTATTCTGAGTTACTCAGAGCAATATACCTACCAGTATGGATGGTTCTACATAGATGGATGAATCTCTGTGCATGAAGCTGACATGAAAAATCTATGACCTTGAGCAAAATTGCAGGTAAGAGAAGGGTTTAAAATATATACAGGCAGGTCATGATTGGAAGTAAAATGTCCAAGACAAGTAGAAGTGATATATTGTCCAGGTGCCACAGCCTGGGCTACTTTTCAATATCCAGTCAGTGCAGGAGGACATAGATTAAAAATTCAATTTCAAATTCATGGTTTATGGTTCTAAGCAGAAATAAAGGACCAGGCAAGAAATAGAATTCAGATGCAATATTGAAAGTTATCTCAGGAAGTAGAATAGGGCAGTGATATGTTCAGCATAAGTATAAAATTATACTTGATGCCAGAGATGGCTACCCTCAGCTATGATCTTTCTGGACTGAGTAAATAAGGGGAAACACATGGGAGGAGCTTTTCCTATCGAGTCACTATTTTGTAGGCACTAGTGTCTGGTGGCATAATGGTAAAGTTCTGCACTGCTAATCAAAATGTTGGTTGTTGGAACCCACCAGCTACTCTGTGGGAGAAAGATGTGGCAGTCTATTTCCCTTAAGATTACAGCCTTGAAAACTCCATATGGGAGTTCTAGTCTGTCCTGCAAGGTTGCTGTGAATCAGAATTGACTAGACAGCAATGGGTTTGATTTAGTCTTTGTGAAATGAGTTAGGGAAGCTCTCACAATTCTAACGCATTAACCAAAATCTTCAGGAGAACCAGTATTTTCAAGGTTCAAAATGAGCCATTTAAGGGATGTATTAAGTTTCTTTTGGTCACTAGTAGGCCTCTTAGCATATCTGAGAAATTGAATGGCTAAATGATAAAACAACAATGCAACTTTTAATTGATATTAATGGAAATGTGCATTTAGGCACACTGAATGTATGACCACTTAGTGAATGATTGTTAGCAAAAGGTTTTGATTAACAATATCTTGGTGAGTATCTTATCATTATTAGTAAGCTAGCCCAGGGACCAGTGAAATGTGGGTGTTTGTCCTGGGGGCAGGCTGGGTAAGCGAGCAGATCAGGGGAGACAAGGAAATGAGCAGAGCAGTTTAGGACAGCAATGGGAGACAAACTTGTCTGTCACTTTGTTGTACTGCAGTGGCTTGAGTGTTGTTGTGGGGATGGAGGCTATGCTATCGGTGTTTCTAATGGCAGGAGATTGGTCATCAGCTCCACGGTGGACAGGTTTCAGCAGAGCTTCCAGACTAAGACAGACTCAGAAGAAGGAAGAAGCCATCCACTTCTCAAAGAATAGGCCAGTGTAAACGTTATGAATAGCAGTGAAACACTTTCTGCTATATTACTGGAAAACTTTATGAATAGCCCTGAGACATTGTGCGATATAGTGCCAGCAGATGAGCTGCTCAGGTCAGAAGGCACTTAAAATACAACTGGGGAAGAGCTGCCTTCTCAGAGTAGAGCCAGCCTTAATGATGTGGATAAAGTAAAGTTTTAGGGACCCCCATTTGCTAATGTGGCATGTCTCAGGATGAGAAGAAACAGCTGCAAACATCTATTAATAATCAGAACATGGAATGTACAAAGAATGAATCTAGGAAAATTGAAAGTTGTCAAAAATTAAATGGAACGTGTAAAGATCAATATCCTAGGCATTAGTGAACTGAAATGGACTGATTTAGGCCATTTTGAATTAGATGGTTGTGGTAGTTCAGTTTGTGTGTCAACTTGGCTGGGCTTGGTTGAGTGGCTGGGCAGCTGGATGTGGTACTCCCCATGATGAGATTGGTCATCAACTCCATGGTGGAATCTACTGGGAGCAGGTGAGTAGCTGCCTTAGGGAATGTGGTCTGCTTTCTGTATATAAGCAGAAGCCTTGGGGAATGGTCTCTAGCTTATGGCATGCTTGGATCTTGCATGTAGCTGTGTCATAGTTCTGCCTGCCTTGGGACTTACAATGGACTTGAATTAATGGACTTCTGTGTGTTTTGGTAACATCAGGACTGTGCCTTTTTACTTGTCAACCTTGGGCTTAGCAGCCTCAGCAGCCAGCAACTGTCTGACTGAAGAAAAGCCTCTAGCTTCAGTGGGCCAGGAGCTGGAGGCAGAGCTGAAGCCCAAGGCTGAGGGGCTTTCACCCAGCTCCTAGAGCTTTGTACTTTGAATTTGGACTTAAAGTCTCCAAATTGTAAGAGAATAAACTCTTGTTTGTTAAAGCCATCCCATTTGTGGTATTTTCTGTTAGAGCGGCTCTAGGTAACCAGAACAATGATCATATGATCTACTATGCTGAGAATGGCAAATAGAAGAAGAATGGTGTGGCATTCATCATCACAAAGAATGTAGCAAGATCTATCCTGCAGTACATTGTTGGCAGTGATAGGGTAGTATCCATATACCTACAAGGAAGACCAGTTAATACTACTATTATTCAAATTTACACACCAAACACCAAAGCCAAAGATGGGAAAACTGAAGATTTTTACCAACTTCTGAAGTCTGAAATTGACCAAACATGCAAACAAGATGTGTTAATTATCACTGGTGATTGGAATGCAAAAGTTGGAAACAAAGAAGAATCACCGGTAGTTGGAAAATATGGCCTTGGTGATAGAAGCAGTGCTGAAGATTGCGTGATAGAATTTTCCAAGACCAATGACTTATTCCTTGCAAATACTGTTTGCAACAACACAGATGGTGGCTGTACACAAGGACTTACTCATTGAGATGTTTCAACGCATCGATGCTGCACTAGAGGCACTCACTTGACTATGCCAAGAGATTGGGAAGACTGCTGCCTGGACAACTGACTGGAAGAGATCCATATTTGTGCCAATTCCAAAGAAAAAGTGATCCCACAGAGTGTGAAAATTATTGAACAATGTCATTGATATCACACGCAAGTAAAATGTTACTGAAGTAACTACATTGCAGCAGTATATTGACAGAGAACTTCCAGAAACGCAAGCTGGATTCAGAACAGGACGTGGAGTGAGGGATATCATAGCTGATGTCATATGGATCTTGGCTGAAAGCAAAGGATACCAGAAAGATGTTTATTTGTGTTTTATTGACTATGCCAAGGCATTCAATTATGTGGATCATAACAAATTGTGGATTACATTGAGAAGAATGGGATTTCCAGAACACTTGATGGTACTCATGAGGAACCTGTACATAGACCAGGATGCTGTTGTTCAAACATAACAAGAGGATACTGCATGGTTTAAAATCAGGAAGAGAGTGCTTCGGGTTTGTTTCCTCTCACCATACTTATTCAATCTGTTTGCTGTGCAAATAACCCAAGAAGCTGGATTATATGAAGAAGAATGTGGTATCAGTATTGAAGGAAGGCCCATTAATAACTGAGATAAGGAGATGACACAACTTTGCTTGCTGAAAGTGAGGATGACTTGTGGCACTTACTGATAAAGATTAAAGACTATAGTCTGTAGTGTGGATTACCCCTCAACATAAAGAAAACAAAAATCCTCACAATGGGACCAATGAGCAGCATCAAGATAGATGAAGGGAAGATTGAAATTGGCAAAGACTTCACATTACTTGGTTTTACAATCAATGTCAATAAAAACAGCAGTGAAGACATCAAAAGATAACTTTGCATTAGGCAAATCTGTTGCAAAGTACCTCTTTCAAGTGCTGAGGAGCAAAGATGTCTCCTTGAAGACTAGGATTCACCTAACCCAAGCCATGGTATTTTCAATCACCTCATATGCACGTGAGAGCTGGACAATGAATAAGGAAGACCGAAGAAGAGTTGATGCTTTTGTGGTGTTGGAAAAGAATGCTGAAAGTACTGTGGACTGGTAAAAGAACTAACAAATCTGTCCTGGAAGAAGTGCAGGTAGAATGCTCCTTGGGAGTGAGAATGGCCAGGCTTTGTCTCACTTACTTTGGTCATATTGTCAGAAGGAACTATTCTTTGGAGAAGGATGTTGTGTTTGGTAAAGTGGAGGGTCAACAAAAGAGGAGAAGGCTCTTGACAAGATGGGCTGACACGGAGGCTACAGCAATGGGCTCAGTAGTAGGGATTGTGAGGCTGGCACAGGACAGGCAGTGTTTCGTTCTGTTGTACATAAGGTCACTACCAGTCAGAGACAACTTGATGGTACATAACAACACCAAAAACAACGTCATTATCTTTTATTAGAAATAATGATATTCATATATAATAGCAACAACAAGTAAGTCACACTTTCCTGGAGCTTCACATAAGAGATGAGATTGTGTTTCTAAGCACAAGAAAGCAAGGCTCCTTGTCCCTTTGGCTTTCACTGGTTCTGTTATCAGTGATGCAGGGTAGCAGGAAATAATTAATGTATTTTATATCTAATAAAAAGAAATCAAATGAAGGCAGCATCTGAATACAGAGGCACTAGAATTGGGAAAAACTGGTTATCTGCAAGAAATATGCTATCCTAGAAATAGACAAAATTAGAGCATGGTCTAGTATGTTCACATGAGCAAGCATAGCCTTCACGACACTGAATGGGAAACGATTCAACAGGAACATCTGTTTGGAGGATTACATGGAATGCAGAGGATGTAAAGAAATGTAACATAGGAAATGCTATGGATTGGAAACATTCCTATCAATGGGGGAGTACATTTTAATTTAGATATCAATCAAGTAGTTTATTTTCACACTAAAATGATTTCAATATGTCCCTCACCTCATTGTAGGTAGAGAAAGATGGCAGCAGAGAACACAGATGCAGCAATTGGTGATCCTCTAAGAGAAATACCC